TAAATCAGGTTGGGTCCAGATTAGCCAGCAGGTGGATCAGCTAATCCGTGACCTCTGCTCTAGGCCAACACTCCTTATCCCCAGAGATGGGTTGATGGACAGTTTAGGAACCAAAAACATGATAACGACACCAGACTTCTTAAGGTGTTTGCAGGAAGAACGCTAAGAGTCAAAAAGCTGGAAAAGCTGCACTGAAAAATGTCATGATACGTGTCTGGCTCCTAGGGTTTGCTGTGGAAACATGATGTCATCTCTAAGAGAGCGTGTCTTGGTCCTGCAGGGGTGAGCATGCAGCCGAGCAGCCTGAGAGCCCACAGGAAGGCCATTAGCGTTCATGTTTGTGATGCAGCCATTTTTAAAAGACAAAAACGCCACAAAATTCTGAATTTTTCATCGACGTTGGTCTATTTTTTGTTTCTATGAAATAAATAATGCAAAGCTTGAAGGGCCATCTCACACACATGCAGAAAATGGAGCATGAAGGGAGGCTGGTAAAACTGGACGGATCTTTTCTCGTCCACCGAAGAGACAGAATAAACTCTGAGGGTTTATTTTCTAACCTCTGATTTAATCTGCATAGAGAATCAGTTCACTGCTGCTTTAATGGAGCAGTTTAGGATTTAAATAAGGAAGTTTTGATTGCATTTCATGGCATCATAACAACAGTTGGTAGTTTTACTTGGTGATTTACTTAGTTTTCATCGTTTAGATTCTATTAAACATGTAAACAATAAACTGACTTATTATTTAGTTAGAAAACATTGAAGTATTGATAAAAAAACAAAAAAACATTTAGCTTCTTATGATGAAATAGTTGGAGAAGCATTAAGAAAGAGGGCGGAGCCACTTCTGTCTGAATACAGTTTTGGGGTGAAAAAAATAGTTGTTTTAAAAAGTGAAAGTTCCTTCTTTAAAATTTGACTTACAAATAAATCATTTTTTCTGCTAATAAACTCTATTTTGTATGACGGAGTATTAGAGCCTGGCAAGAGATCTTTTTCCTTCTATTTTGAGAATAAAGTTGTAGAATTATGAGAATAAAGTTGTATTTTATGAAACTCTTCC